AATATTTGGAAATAATCCCAGAAGAAAAGAAACCTTCTCTGTTACAACCATATTCTTTATTTGAAGTTTGAATAGATCAGAATCTATGATAATTGAAGAAAAAAAGCATCATTACAAGACCTTAAATGTGAAGTTAATCAACTTAAAGTTGAAATAAAAATAATAAAGCAAAGGCTTTCGGCATTAGAAAAAATGCCAATAAAAGAAGATAACACAAAAGAAACTCTTCTCCCAAATATTTAAATATATTAGAAAAAATAACCTTTTAAAAATGGTATGTTAAAATCATACTTGTAATTATCAAGAATTAACTGTTGAAACAATTGCATTAATTGATAGTGGAGTAGAGATGAATTGTATTAAAGAAGGATTAATTCCTACAAAATATTTTGAAAAAACAACCCGGTCATTGAGTACGACTGATGGATCAAAATTAAATATAAAATTTAAGATTTTGAATGTTTACATCTGTAATCAAAGAATTTGTATTTCTACTATTTTTATGCTTATACCAAATTTAAATCAATTTATAATTTTGGGAACACCATTTTTATCTATGATTGAACCTATAGAAAGAATAGATTCTAAAGGAATTTTAACCAATTTAAGGGGTCAACAAGTATTATTTGAATTTATAACTCCACCCTAAGTAAAAATGATAAGTTAGATAAAAGAAAACTTGATTCATAAAGAGAATCAATTGAACTTCTTAAAAGAAGATGTTAAGATTTTAAGTTTCTCAGAGAAACTTAATACTCTTGAGTTTGAGAGTAAATACAAAGAAATAGAAACAAAAGTAACACAAGAAATATGTGGAACTCTTCCTAATGCTTTTTAGAATAGGAAGAAACATGTTGTAACTTTTCCTTACATCAAAGAATTTAATGAAAAAGATATTGCTACCAAGGCCAGACCAACTCAAATACATAAGGAATATTTGGAAAAATCTTTAATTTGTAAGGGTTACTCACTAAATATTGGTGCAGCTTTTTATGAAGAAAAGGAGCAAAGAATGTCAAACATGGGATCGTTCTCTATTGTTCGTATAGCTGAGTCACTAGAACTTCTTGATTTCATTTGTAATTATGCTAATGAAGACATTTTCAGCTTTGCTTCTAGTTGGAGTACTCATTATTGTAGGGTCTCGTTATGGTGTCTCTACTGCATTGCTATGGAAGAACAATTAAATGATCACGTGCCCATCTTTTTGTTAAGGATTGCAAGAGCTAAGCAGAATTCTTTTGCTTTTTGTCTTCTTCTTGAGAGAAATGATTGGTATTTTGATTAGCAATATAAGCAGCAGATGGAGAATATTGTTTCAGATGAATTCTGCAATCTACTAAAGCTCGGTGGTATTTTGGTCAATGCCTATTATCCACCATTTAATGAATCCCTAAAGTTTAAAACTGTTAATAATCAACTTATTAAAGAAGATAAAGAAAAGACAATTTAGTCCAGTAATGATGACGATTATACCGTTGTAAGATCTAAAAAATCTATTCAAGATGCTCTAGTAGCCAATCCTAAGTTAAATTATACTGAGTTAAATACTTTGTCTGCTTATAGCAGTATAATGACTTTCGATAATGAATATATTAATTGGATGATAGATCCATACTATATTACTAAGCAATTTATGACGTTGGATAAAACCTTCTTAATATCTGGGAAAAAGGACATAATGTATTATGAAAACATTCTTATTAAAATCGATTCTGTCAAATTCCAAAGATTTTTTAACAATAAACATAATACTACTGATCCACAATATAATAAAGCACTCATTTTAAGAGTGATATCTTAATATAACAATCCCAAGAACATTAACATAGTCTCCATATATGGAGTATAATTATTTCGACTATATTGATGCTTGGAATAATGCATTTCTTCATAACTGCATCAATTTGGGACACTCATGGTTCTTCTAATTCACTGAAACTTGTACGAAAATTCCTAACTGGTTTTATGATTGGTGGGACACCCATAAAAAAATTATGACTTATATAAAGAGAAAAATCCATCCTTAAATGATAATAATATTTTGAAGCCAAGCCTATTATTAATTTCTCACTCGAATTCTTTGTTCTATGGATTTGGGTGTAGACTTTGGCCTGTGATTTTAATCAAAACGGACACCCTAGATTAATCAAGAAATATCATGTCTAATTCTGGAATAATTACCTGCTTGAATCTAAATGCCAAGGCATAGCGGAATGTCTTAAAGACATGGGAAAAGAAGAAGAGGACAATCCAACCTCTAAAGATATTATTTCCAGTTCTGGTATAAATACTCTGATACCAACAGATAAAGGATCGTAAATAAAGAACAACGAAATGATAATAATATGACTTATATAAAGAGAAAAATCCATCCTTAAATGATAATAATATTTTGAAGCCAAGCCTATTATTAATTTCTCACTCGAATTCTTTGTTCTATGGATTTGGGTGTAGACTTTGGCCTGTGATTTTAATCAAAACGGACACCCTAGATTAATCAAGGATTATCATGTCTAATTCTGGAATAATTACCCGCTTGAATCTAAATGCCAAGGCATAGCGGAATGTCTTAAAGACATGGGAAAAGAAGAAGAGGACAATCCAACCTCTAAAGATATTATTTCCAGTTCTGGTATAAATACTCTGATACCAACAGATAAAGGATCGTAAATAAAGAACAACGAAAGCTTTATTTATACAAAAGTCCAATACACAATTTTAAACATGCAGTGATGGGAGACAAGATTGAAGAAGTATGCTATATTACAAGAGAGAACATTATCATACAAGAGTCCAGATAGGGTGCAAGACAAAAGGAGTTAGGTAATGAGTGTAACAAAAGGTGTAAGAAAAGAAGGAGGGCCTGATTGAAGTCGTAAGAGGGTGTAAGAGATGTAGTAAAAGATGTGTCCAACAGGCCAGGCCTGCACCTTTATTTATAGGAGCCCGACTTAAAATCTGGATTTCAACATAGCATATACTATTTACAACTTTTACAGTACACAATTTTAATAATTTACATTAATGTTATCATTACTATACATTACGCTAATAATTTGCTCGTGACGTCATGGCCTGTGTCATTTCTTAATATTCGGCTTTATTTGAGAATCTGGCTTTATCCGATTATTTTCTGTAAAGCAAATTATACAGCTCATTATCGCTGTCTTGAAGGTTTATCTCCATGTCATCATTAAGTAAATTTTCATTAATAGGAATATCACCTTTAAAAGGGGTATATCCCTGGGAATCTATTAAGTCTTCATCGGAGTCGGTAGGAGTGCTTGATTTTCTCCTATTATCCTCCTCAACCTTTTCTTTACTTTTGATTTTTATGGCAACTGTTGGGTTGTTGACGAGGTCTATCTTTTCTGTTTTACCCATACCAAATGTGGACATAACTTGGAGACACATCTTGTACTGCGGTTTTAAGTTGCTTAGTATTAAATGGGGTTTTTCTCTATAAATTTTTTCTTTAAGAAATTCAATTGGATTAAATCCAGTATTTATACTGGAACTGGGAATAATATCTTTAGAGGTTGGATTTATAATCTAAATTAAAGGTCAAGTGTTCTATCACTTGGTTGCAAGATTTGAAATGTGCCAAAAAAAAAAAAAAGAGAGAAGTATGGCAAACAAGTGGACAGTTGTCCACATGAGGTAACCAAGGTGCATCATCCATGATGCAAGGGGGGCCAAGACTTTGGCCACTTGAACGACATAGCGAAGAAAGAAGAGAGAGAGACAGAGAGGGGGGGGGGGGGAAGGGGAAAGAAAGAAAATGGGTCCAAATTTTGTTGACCTAAGAGTTGTTTCTACGATCAAAATTTTGATTAAATGTTTTTAGTAGTAATTCTATAGGATCGAGTCACCTAAAGTTGATCCTTGCTAAATATTTTTGGATCAAATTTACATATCATTATTTTTTGTTAGTTATTTTAAAAATTATTTTAGCTTAACTAAGCCCTTATTATGTATTTTTATTCTAAATATTATTTTGGTTGTTTTGTCACATTACACGATATTGAGTAAAGGTCACGTTAGAGGTAGGGTTTCTTTTATATTTTATTGTCATTGGTGCATCTCATGCATATTTAGGGGCTTCATATCAATTCTATTTTTTTAATATAATATTATATCGCTTTAATCATGGGGTCGGACTTGGGTTTTATAAATAAATCGTGATTATGCACATGTTATATATTTTTTTATCTTGTCTTGTGAAACCAAGTTGCATATAAAATGTTTTTTTTTTATTCAGTGCTTGATTTTTTACTTGCTCTTGGGTCTGAATACAATATGAATCTATTTTATGATTTTGATGAAATTAGTATGGATGCATATAATCGAGGTAGAGGGTTAGTAGACGTGTGGTCTTTGTGAGAATTCACAGGATTTTTACTAGTCCTTGGGTTTACTGGTTAGTAATATCGGTTGCCGTGGTAGCCTGTGTGGTACCATAGAATTCTCGGTATTGGTGTTCCTTGGGGGAAAGGGGCATTGGGTTCCCTAAGGTGCAAGACCCCAAAATTTTTCTTCGGAGGTGGTTCATGCGTGGATCAGAAAATTGACGGATTGTTATGATCGATATGTGTTGAAATTTATTTATTTATTTAATTCATTACTTTGTCCTATTCCTGAATTTACCTGTTGTTTAATTATATCATGTATTGTTTAAAATCTTGATAGTCATTGATAAATTATATCCTACTTGGCTGGTGAGCTCATTCCTATATAACATTTTTCAGAAATATAAAGTCAGATAGGAGGATAAGCTAAAAGGACAGTGGATAGAGACTACTATTATTATTTTATTTTTATGTTATATCAAGGTCATTTTAATTGATCGATTGAGGATTATGTAATTGTACCTTTGAATATAATAATTCAAGGAAGATTATTGTAAGTTATGTGTGGTTTTATTCCTTAATCACGCCGGGATAATTTTTTTTAAAGAAAAAAAAATTGGGACGTGACACCTTTTGAAGTTTAAAACAATGGCCTCCATGATTTCCTGTAAGATTGTGGATATAATGCTCACAACTCTTCTGCTTAGTTCTATTCTGATTAGTGAGACAAATTTCTGCATATACACAACCACGAACACCGATTCTGGTTTGGAGACCTTGCTTGTATTCATTAACCAAAAGTTTGTTTTATTGTTAATCCTGATTTGGCAACATAATATAGTTTTTAATTTATTGTGAAACTTTAGGCTGCATACAGTGCATTTGGTAGCTATGGGAGCAGCTATGTACATCCACAAACCCCATCATCTGTGGCCCAGACTGCTGCTTATGGTGCTTATCCTTCTACATATGTGGCCCAGGTAACTCAAATTTTGTTGCATATCAATCTGTATAATTTCGGAGATATGGATTTTTATGGTTTCTTTGGTCATGCAGTTGAAGGTTTTCCAGTCTATTTGATAATTTTGATCAATTATTTCTCTCCTTTTTTTTTTGTTGGCTTATTCTTTGGTATAAAGCTATCTTTTTATCTGAGAAGAATTTTTCTGTTAAATCTGCCTCTATTATCTGCAAGTATCAATTTGTCTTTTTTTTTTTTGAAATTTCACTGGCTTTCCCTCAGCAAAGTTACGCTCCATCATCCACAGCTGCAACCTTGACTACAGCGCAGCAACCTACTTCAGCTCCTCCTCAGGCTTATTATGGCAGTAATTACTGAGCTGACAAAGATTATCCTACACTGTTTTGCCACTTGGAAGTTTCAACCAACTTTGTTGGCTGTAACAAATTGAGCCATACCATGGTTGTTGTTTGGACATGGTTGTGGAGGAAGTTGACAAGCACTTGGGATAGGAAAGCGAGCATGCTAAAGCAGTGATTGTATTTATATTTATTCATTTTTTGTTTTGCCATTTTCGTGTATTCTGGAGGATATGCCACTTGTTGTGTTGAGGCGGGAATCTCATTTCTTCTGTAAAATGTCTGATTTGGTGGTGGGCTGCCAGCGTGCTCCGAGGAGCCTTCTGAAGCCTTAGGACAGATGCTGAAAAATGGCTTCATGGGTTCGATGTAATAGATTGTTTCTTTTAATAGGTTAGATTATTAGCTAGATATGGTTTTAACTGTTTATGATGTATCCGTGGACCATTGTCATCTTGGTGCCGAATGCTTCATAATCAAAATTTTAACAGCATTTCAGTTGAATCTTCTTGAGATTGAATTGTTTTATACTAGGGGTGGCAACTGTCTCATTTTTTCTTTTTTTGTTGTTGGAGATGGGCAGTTGGAGATGGGGTGTGATGGCATGTGTGGTGTTGTAATTCTGATGTCTCAGGTTTGAGTTTTGAGTTATTAGACCAATTTTTTTGTTTCTTTGGTGGTAAGTATGTGTGCATTTAGCCCTATTCATATACTAAAGTGGTATATGTTTTAGCAATAAATCACTTTGTTTTTCTTCTGGTTTATGATAGCTTGACAATAACATTTTATATTTAGGGTATGAGAATAATCTCATAGCCGATTTACACATACAGGTCGGTTACGGTATTAAAGGGGTGTATTAAGGAGTCGTAACAAATTCTTTAATCTAATCTTATATTATATTTGATGATAAAAAGTATTTTGTATTATATTATATCCGTCCGCATTGCGCTTGCCGGGACTATGAGCTGCCAGTGTGCCTTTCTTTGGGTCACTACATTTGGAATCAAGAATTGGTTCAAAAGTAGGTGGTGGTTCAAAATGAGCTAACTCGAGTTTTTGAACCGTGCTTTTCTCCATCTTTTTCTTGCCTAAAAGATGGAGTTATACTAATCGACTACACTTAAGTATAGACTTCTCCTAATATATGCCAAAAGTAATTTTGTGAAACTTGAAAAAATTACCTAACAATATTTAAAATATTGTACATGTTTTTAATATATTTTTATGTAATATGTAATAGAGTATTTTGTGGGTAATTTCAAGATAGTTACTAAGATAGAGGGAGTCATGAGTTAGATTAATTATTAAAGTAGTTTTATTATCATGTATTTAAAGGTTTTTTTTATCAATGATGTGAATATGTTGAATATTATATTGAACTTTATTGTAGAAGTTTTGGAGATCGGTTCTTCTCGAATTGCCACCCCCTCGAAGCGGATTTTCTTCCTCGATTATATTTTTTCTGTTTTACAAATCACTCAAAATTATGTACGTAACAAGAAGTATCATATTTTGTTGTCAATTACACTTGTAGATGCAAAATCTCAATATACACTCGTAGAAAATAAGAATTAATTATTTATATATTGATGTTTTAAAGTTTATTTATTCAAGTCTTGTGGTTTTAAATTTGTTTACTAAATTATTTTTATTTTTTAAAAATATATTTTATTTATTAAATTATTTTGGCTATTTAAAATATATTTTAAAAACAACTATAATTTAATAGATAAATTTTTTTTTAAACTTGGGTAAATCATATTTTTTACGTCAAAAGATTTAAAAATTTTAATTTTATATTTTTAAAGATTTAATTTCTCATGTTACACTTTTAATATATTAAAAATATTATAATATAATCCTTCCATTAAGTGTAATATTAGAAATTTAATATATTTTGGGTATAAAATTAAATTTTAAAAAATTTATCGGGATATAAAATATAATTCGCCCTTAAAACTTCACATATTACATATATTTTTTGAACGAAAAAAAAAAAGAACTTCACAGATTGACTCACCTTTCGTGGGTCCCACTTATTAACGGTCCTCATCCACCCTGGCATATAATGGCGGCAAGAAGGAGCAACTTAATAAAAAGCCATTAAAACTCAACACAGTTCTCTCTCTCTCTCTCTCTCTCTCCTCACAGTATCATTGTTCACTATATCGGTCTATAAAGAAAAAGAAACATATATTGATTCAAATTCATCATTTATATTGTACTCTCTAGAGTTCTTGATTTGGGGTTCCAAAGATTGTACTTCTTGGTGGATCTGATCAATTCAAGATACTGTCTTTTCTCGCTAAACGCTCTTGTAGGGGAGAGAGCGAGAGTAATGGCGAGTCCCTACCGTGCCTCTGTCAGCGCTGTTCAGGTGATTCAATTGCGTCATCAAGAAAGGATTGAATATGTCTTTGTGGTGTGTTGATGCAATCTTTTTAGGGTGTTCCAATCTTTGGTGTTTGTGTTTCAGGTTGGTCGCTACTTTGTTCAACAGTACTATCCGGTTCTTTGTCAACGACCTCATTTAGTTCATCATTTTTACACCGATGATAGTTCTATGGTTCGGGTCGATGGGAATTCTAGCAAGACTGTTTCGGCAAAGCTGGTAATGCTTTGACTCCAATTGCAAATGAGTAAAGAAATTCATCCTCTGTTTGACAAAAGTCTTTCCTTAGAGAAGAGCTTTAGGCGGCTCCAAACCGGTCCCAAAAGAATTTCATTGCAAGGATCAATACATTTGTTCCAACTAATAAAAATACATATGTTCCAACATGGATGGTTATTTGATCGGGCACGTTCCTTGATCATAAATATGAAATACCATGATATATTCCCCACAAATGACATGTCGTTCCCCAGGCCATCCATAAGGAAGTACCAGTAGATTTAGCGTTTTAAGTCTAAATCTTTGTCAGGGATTAAAATTGCTCTGATCAAGTAGAGCAGTTGCACTAGGAGATGTTGGATCTGTTCTGCATAAGGATTTAGTTCTTGTGAGCATGTATGGGTGATGGAGGGATATTAGTAACCTTAAGGCTATCTAGTTGTCTTGAAAAGGGTGGTGGAAGGACTAAGGAGTTATGTAGAACTAAGAAGAGTTTACAAAATAGGATTGTGAGGAATTGTAGGGTTTAATTATAGAAGCTGATGTTGATATTGTAGTTAAGAGATTTATCTTTCATAAAGAACGAGAGGTTGCCTTAAAATGTGACCCATATGCTAAGATGGATCCATTGCTAGGTCAAGGCATGTCTCCCAACGAGTATTTATGTGCATATGTTGGGACACGTGCACTGATCTAAACAATGGACTGTCGTAGTCCATGAACATTTTGAATATATTACTTTCATGCATTATTTGCTATATTGGAAAAAGCTATTTGTAATAGAAATGAGTTGAAAACTCCTAGTAGCTGCTAAACTGTACTTATAATTAATTAAGCATTTATGATTGGTCCGCCAAATGGACTGTTTAAAAGCAGTTCTGCTATAGCTAGTCAAAGCTAGGGTTTGGTGCATGTCCTGTTTGTGATTTTGGTCATGTAGATATCAAGAAGGTCACAGTGGGATATTATCAGAAATCACGATCCTTAAGCAGTCCATAACTTTTGCCGCTTCAATCTCTTGGACTCTTCTATTCCACAAGATGGTGTTTCTGTTGTGGCTGTTTCAGAAGTTAACTGTTGCATTTGTGAATTCATTTTCAAGTGTTCGACTGAGTAGATAAATATTATACTAGTCTAAAGAAGGCATCTCCTCAAGGACAAAGAGTAAGTGCTCAAAAACTAATCTTTGGGGGCAGTGGGGATAGTGCATGTAATCTCTCGAAAATCTTCAAGAAGCATTTATTTCTGACTAGAATGTTTGTTTGTGAAGGTACGAGACATGTCTTCATTCTTGTATTGTTCCATGACTGTGCTGCGTATTGATGTATAATAGTGGTAGTAGTGTAGTACCATATGAGGTGGGACTAGCTGTTGATGTCCAACAAGGGGACCAAATAAGTTGATGCTACTCTCAGTAATTGATGTTTTTCATGTAAAGCTGTTGATTATGAACATTTTTGGAAGTTTCAGCAGATGGAACTACACTTTTTGTCTTAATTCCGTGATTTATTTGTTTTAGTTATGTAAGCCTCCACGTTTATGACTTTGTGTGCTTCATTTAACTTATTTTGTTTGATTGCCACAATGTGTAGCTTCTAGGTTGGAATAAATGAAGTTTTGTAATATATATTTTCCTCTCCTTCTGCAGCAAATTCATGCACTTATGATGTCTAGAAAATTTACCCGTATTGTGGTCAAGACGATAAATTCTCTGGAATCGTGGAATGGAGGCGTCGTTGTGGTGGTTTCTGGTACTGTCAAATCTCAGGATTTCAGTGGCTTGAGGATATTTGTGCAGACTTTTTTTCTTGCTCCTCAGAAGGAAGGTTACTTTGTTATTAACGATATCTTTCACTTTGTTACTGAGGAGGTGATGTATCCACCTCCTGTGAGCATAGTATCAGAAAACAAAGTTGAACCCCAAGCAAATACTTCTAGTCTTCTTCCAGATACACCAGGTAAGACTTGATCTGGATTGTACAACCTTATCAAATATCACAGATCTTTCTGTTCTTTTCTTAGACTCATTAAGCTAGACAATGCCACACAAAGTTGGGTGAGAACTCAAAACCAGTTCTTAGTCTCAAAGAGAGTATTTTCTTTTTGATATCCTTTAAGGTTTTTCCAAAACAAGTATGATTCTATGTAAAGAGACAACTGCTGTGTTTTTTAAGTAACTGTTGGGCAACGTGACGTATTTTCGGCAGATTTCAACCGTGCATTGGAGGTTGGGGCCAGAGAATTTGAGGAGGAAACTATTGTGGAAGAGCCATCTATTAGAGAGCCTCCAGCGATTACTTATGCCTCTATAGTATGCACCTCTTCCCTTGGTACTAGTGCATACAAATATACCCATGCATGTGCATTTGCTTGCTCTGCATTGTTTAACGCATTACTGTATCGGTGGGACTATATGTTGAGGAAATAAATTCTACTCATTACACCCTATTGCAACAATAGCTTGAGAAATTCATCTACGTTGGATGGACAGTTATATCTGCCCATGCAACATGCACATTTCAAATTGGTTGAAAGTACTAGTGCATGCACGACAAAAACTTGGCACGAGCGTGGAATATGCCTGGCGTGCATCGTTTTAAGAAAAAGTATGGAAACATCTATTGATTTGTTTAGTATTCCACAAGAAATGTTCCCTTTTTCACATGGAGGAGGAAGTTTGAGAGTTTGGCACTCTTAACTCTGTTTCTGTTCTGAGGATTGAGAATGCAATGTATGTGACACTGATGCATGCAATATCTGATACTCATGCCATGTTACATTGACATTGCATCAAGTCCCCGCTTGAGTATGTGACAGGTGGGTTTTGTGTGGGATTGTCATATTAGATCAGAGAGACCCGTTGGTGAATTATCAATTTTTACCTTGTTTACAAAGGTACATGATTATCTGTGGGTTCATGTTGGACTGATCTATCTGTCTTTTCCTCTTGGCATTTGAATATTGGAAAACTTGAAAGGTGAGAGCTCCTAAAGGAAAATCTGTGCGATCAGTCCCTGCTCAGCCATCTTTTACTAAGAACATGGACGTGGCAGGGAAAGGTTTATCACGAGAAGAAGAAGGTGACCTCTGTATGTTTCACTCTTGTGTAGACTAAAGTTTTATTTGTGGGAGCATATTTAGAACTGTGAAGTTCTCTTTGATAGGAAACTTTATCATGAACTTGTTGACTTTGGACACATAAAAAGGACATGCAGAATTCTATTTTGACCTAGATGTTGAAAAGTTGTTTGATGGAAACGGTTTTATTTTGTTTTTGCTGGGGTGGGGGATCTCTTAGGGTGGGCTTTTGGGGCTCAAGACATGATCCATGTGAGTGTGTAGGTGAACCATGTATGAGGTCATCTCCATGATGGAGATTTAATTCTGAAATGTACATAAGACTTTGACAGATTGTTAATGACTTACAGCCTTTTATCTCTTTTTAATATTCTTGATAACTATCTTGCACTCTTAGATTTTTCTAGTTGATGATTATCAATTTAGGGACATGAAGTTGATTTTGATCAATCATTTATCCAGTGGAATTATCTACGTCTGTTTGTGTAAAGAACCTGCCTTCTACCATTCGTGCCCTTGATATTCTGCACGAGTTTAGTAACTTTGGGAGAATAAAGCCTGATGGGGTGTTTTTAAGGAACCGCAAGGTGAAATTCATTCTTTGTACTTTTAATGATATGCCTTGACATACACCTTGGACTTGGAGGTATCTAAAATTGCAATGATCTACAGGAAATTGGGGTTTGCTTTGCCTTTGTTGAGTTTGAAAGTGTCCAGAGTGCACAAAATGCAATCAAGGTTTGAACTATGACTGTCTAAATGAGTTAATCCTTTGTTCTGACATTCTATTATTCTAGTGAATTGCCGCAGTGTTTGAGGGCAGTCATTTTAGCGCAGCTTGTGCTGCCTCAACAGGAAATTAGCAGTTTCAAATTTGTCTGATGATTTGTGATGTTCATTAGTTTTAGTTTTGTCTATTTGCATGTCTTGTGGATTTACTGATCGTACATTTGTTGCTTTTCGTGCTGAAGCATGTTTGCAACGTTATTTTTAGTGTAGAAATTTCAAAATGAGAAGCTTACTGGCATTTGGAAGTTTGTTTCTTATTAAAAAAAAATAGTTTTTTTTTTTATCTGGCACAAATTTTTAGAGCTTATTTTGTTTTAACTATAAATGCACTTTGAAAAGAGGTAAAATGTCTATCTTTTGGCATGAGGTCCATCATCATGCTTGTAATGCTGGTATGCCATGTAAATGAGGTATGTTTATTTTATGAGATGAATGCGACCCATGCACCCCACCTATGGACAGTAGTGGCTTTTGTGCAATATGAGCAGCTTCCTTCCTCCTGAACGATCATGAAATGTGCGGTCAGGTAGTTTAAGTTCTAACTGTAGCATGGTTATCATGATAGGGTTCTTTGATCACCCAATCTCCTGTTCTAGTCTTATCCAAACGAAATAAACCGTTGAAGATTCATCTTTTTGTTACTGTTGTAATTAATATCTCTGAAGCTCGAAGCTCCAGTACATCGTCATAAACATGTTAAGTAGAGTGATTCAACTACCATGAGTTTGTGGTTTGAATGTGATGGTAGCCACTTTGTGCTAATAATGCCAACGTTTAGGTCTTTGTCCAGTGCACCCAATCCAATATCCCCTACCTATTAATATGGACCAAACTGGACAATGCCTTTTATTATATATAAAAAAAACAGCCCCGCGTATCTCTCCCCTCTTTTTTTCTCATTTTGTTGGTTTTTTTTGTAGGCATCTCCCTTACAATTGGCTGGAAGACGAGTCTATGTTGAAGTGAGGAGAGCAAACGGCAGCAGTAGCAGTTCTCGTGGAGGGAGTATGTGCCTCAAATTACTCTTTCTTGGAAATAATAATTCGCCATTTGATTTGTTATTTTATCTTATGATTCTTACTTAATGGGAAACATGATGTATTTGTATGAACTCTTTGGAATCTTTAATTCTGCCACCAACTGGTTCTTTACCAGAATTTATAAATACAAACTGTTCTCTTGGTTTTGACATTCCATATAGTATCATTGATGGACAAGTTATTCTTATATTGAGGTGGTACTGGACTTAAACTTATATAAGGTGGACTTGTACAGCCACTGGCAGTTGAAGGAAATCTGAATGGCTACTATTGGATTCTCTTTGAATTGGGTCTCAGATGTGTCTTTTTTCCATCTGCTCATATAGAATGTAAATGTGCTTTGGGTTTTAGAAAATAAGCACTGGCTTTAATGTCCAAGTGAGGATGCATCTTCATATACCCATCATGAGCTCTCTTTATTACACAGCGAATGGTCCCATAATGCACTTGTTCTCTCCCATGTAAGGTTGAGCACTTGAGCTCTCTTTAACATGTGGACTGTGTAGCTAGTCTCAAGAAGATACATGCATGCTCTTTGTTCCTAGGAAACAAAATGTAAAAGCGGGAGTTGAGTTGATAGTGACTAAAAAGGGGATTGGGGTATCACAATTCTGTTTCGGTGATGTGGGGTGGCGGTGTTGACAGGGATTGGTGGTGGTGGCAGTGGGGGTGCCATTTATGCCTAATTGTGGTGCATTGGGATGTTGTGATGATATTAATGACAGTGGCATACGGTTTTAGTGATTCCTGCAGTTTGAAGCGAAGCACAATTTGTGTGATTTGTGCTTCTAGAACTTTGTTAACATACTGCTGCCTTTTGAATTGTTTGGTCAGGAAGGGGAAGAGGCAGAGGAAGTTATTAAAATGAGCCACTGCAAGGGTGATATGGTGCACATACTTTTGACAGGGGAAGCAATCAAGATGGGGATGACAACAGCAAACAAAGAGGCAATGGATTCTAGGGTTCGTAATGACCCAAAGGGTCATGACACACCAAGTATAAGCAACTGGGCATAACTACTACTACTACTTGAGCCCCAATCTTTTCCTTTTTTTTTTTTTCTGTTTTCTCTTGACCGAGGCAGATTGGTGCTATAGGTCAACAGTTTCCAGAAGGGAAACATTTTCCTTGTGATGTTACGAAAACAAATATTGGTTTTAGTGCTGTTTGATGCATGTTGAGAGATTTCATCATTCCATTTCTCCTGTTTGTGGCACATATGCTTATTCTTCCCCTCGATTGTTTTTTAACTTGCAATCAAGAGGGAATACTTTTGTACCTTGGAGCTTCTGTTTGGGCCAAATCTCATGACTAAGCTGGTTTCTGGTGTAATATGGAGCCCTGTGATTTTGATGCTTAGTTTGTCTTGCATTTCATACCTTTAAGGTTTAGCTTATGTCTCTGTTTCATACAGTTTCAAATTTGTAGTTTCTTTGCAAGATTGGCTGGCAAAATCTAACTACTTTGTGTTGCAGATGTACTTCCACAGATTCGCAGTCCCTATTCCTATTCATCTGCTATTGCTTCCAGCTCGAGGAAAGATGTTACTATAAAAGAAAATGTTAAACCAAGGTACATAACATTAAGTAATTTACAAAAGGAATGCTTGAATGCTTGTTTGTTTGGACAAAAAAAGGGTATTTTTTATATTTTGCTTGTAATCCTGGTTTTCATATAATGAACGTAAAATATATGTTATATATTTATCCTTGAATTCCTGTACCTGTCAAACTACATACTAACACCCTCTCTCACACACACGCACGCGCGCCCATTACAAAGACATATGGATTGTGCTTTCAACCATTTAAATGATCTACTAAAATCGTTCCCTGTAACATCTACCAAAGCTTGCGAAAGTTAAGCAGTTACAGAAGCCATGCCTGCCTTATGGAAAAGGGGTGGCGCATGGGGATCGTTAAGTGCATCATCTTCATCTTCATCTTCTCCTGCTTCCCAAAGGAAACTGGCATATGCTGCATGCACATGGCTGGAAGAACACGAAACCAAAACTCAATTAGTTGAATTTTGTTATAGGCACCCACGAAAAAAAAAAAGAATAAAAGATTTTCCACAATGACTAGTAAGATGCACTAGCGGGAAAACAAACCTGTCCTCAGAAGCGGCTTGAACTGCTCGTTCAAAGTAGCTTGTCGTTCTTTCTCTATCCCGATGAAGCTCCCACACTAGTTTAGCATATTGTGACAGAATTTCACCATCTCCAGGGTCTGCTAGAATAGCCCGGGTATAGTATTCCTCGGCTCGTTCAAGATTTCCTTTTGACTGCCAAAAAAAGAACAGTTACATGCTAGGTAGTTTAAACGTGAAAGGGTAAGAGAGTCTTGGTCTCTGTCCAATATGCCTGATTTGCTGGTGATTTTGCATACTTACTATGATATAACCACGAATTCATAGAACCCATGGTTGGGACGGGTTTCCATTGTTTAAAAACAGAGTACTATCCAAAGTAGAATCTTGGTCTGGCCAATATGCTTGATTTGCTGGTGATTTTGCATACTTACTGTGTTATAACCATGAATTTATAGAATACATGGTTGTGACGGGTTTCCATTGTTAAAACACAGAGTACTATCCAATGTAGAATCTTATGCAAATTCCATGTCTAGTTTGTTTGACTTCTAGAGATCTGTTGTTACTACGAGTAAGTTTCAAATGGAGTCTCAGAAATAACGAGAGATTCAATTTCACGACCACCTCTCTTCGACGTATGATGGTGTATTTTTGTTGCACATCACATAGATTTGATAAAAGTAAATGTTTTGTTAATGCTTCAAAATTAAGAGCACAGCCACTCGTTATGAGGATGGGGGCATATGACTTTGTAAGAGAAGCATAGAGTATATGATAAATTAGGGGACTCACTTGATGCAGAAATTGAGCATAATTCCTCAAGAACAAAGGGTTGCCAGGATTCTCCACCACCATCCGCTTAAAATGGTCCTCGATGCCGTTGCTGTCGCCATCGTCCCTGCCGAAGTCTACTGATGTAAAAAACCCACCTCCGCCGCCACGACCACCGCCGTTAAATCCCCCGTTACTACCAAAACCAATATCAACACCACTGACCCCAAGCCCTCTTGCAAGATACATATGTGGACTGACCTCTTCCCTCTCTTCAAGACCCACATTTCCATATCCCATTTCCTCATTCAATTTAATGTTCTGCTTCATTAGACATAGTTTACCAAACAATTCACCATTTTCCTCCAATTGTTGTTCCCGCTCTTCTTCTTCTTCTTCGTCTTCTTCATCGCCGTCTTCTTCTTCATATCTCCTAAGATATTTGTGAAATGAAAAAGATGGGATTGTCTCTAAAAATGAGCTAGTAGCTCTGCGTGAACACTTCTTCAGTGGGTTTGAAAAACTGAATTCATCAATGATGCCTGAGGCGGCATTGGCTAATCCTTCCAAGTTCCCTTCAGACTGAGCTCTACTAAAACCAATAGGGGAACATCGGCCAGTACCCGAAAATTCGGAGACGGAGGGAGAGATGGGAGAGGAGTTGCATGAAAATGTAGAGAAATTCTGAGATCCAGCTCGGTGAAAACAGAGTTTGTTGTAGTTTTGATGAGTGGTGGTTGGTGGGTGTTTGGCGGTGGTGTGGGGTACTTCAGGCTGGTGGTGAATGTTGTTGGGAGTGTCTGAGAAGGGTGAGAGGAGGGATCCAAGAACTGGTGTTGAAGAGCTCCTCAGCATCATTTTCTTCTCCCAGATATTTTCTAGCTTGAATGGCTGTGGTCTGTTGCTTTGGATACAAAGTTTCTGTGGAGAAGACAAAAGGGTGAATATAGAATCAATGAAATCCCTTTAATTTGAGCTGAGATTTTCTCTACTTGGATTGGGTTTATGAAAAAAAAACAAATTTTAAATTTGATAGTGACCGAGTTAGAATCTATGTTTTTTTGAAACAGATATGAACCCAACTGGAGCAATTGAATTTTTATTCAACTCGAATCATACTCAAGTTTCACATGAAATTGTGTTATTCAAGAATTCAACTCAAATTAACTTTGGATTCAATCTAATAATTGAATCTGACTTTTCAATTAAGCGGAACTCGTTTTTTTAAATGAACTTAATATCGTTTAGAATACAAAGTAAGTTAGAGCTAACTCAAAATAAATCGAACATGAGCCGAATTTGAATATCTTGATTCTATTATCATCCCAAATTTTAAAAACCCAAATAATAACCCAAGTTGAGGGGAGAGAGAGAGAAATGCATTCTAACTATGACATTTTGAAGAAACAAACTTACCTCTTCTCTTCTAAGGTGCAAGTGATGGTCCCAGATGACTTTCAAGAACAAGAAAGAAAAACTTTCCACAGAAAATGGAGAGTCGGGTATGTGCTATGCTATGTGGCCACAAAACTAATAACCATTGAACTAAATGCATCAACAGAAAGATCCCCCTTTTATAAGAGAGTGAAAGAAAGAAAGAAAGATAGGAAAAGAAAGAGAAGGGCAGTTTCTCTGATGCAAAATGTGATTTTTCGTCCCAAACATAATCATTTTGTATGGTGCAGGGTGCACCAACGAGATTATTGTGAGAAATATCAGAATGTTCTTTTCTTTTGGGAGAGAGGGTCAAACCCTCCTCTTCACATGGGGCCATATGGTCCGCTGGACGCTAAGACAACCAAATTGACCAGGCACCAATGGACTTGAATGCAGACTCCAGTTGTTCATCTTTTGTTTTGTAAGGTTCAGAAAACTTATTTTCCACCCACCATTTTTTTTGGTTCATCGGTCTGAAGTATTGTGGATCAGTTTACATGCACTTCGATTAATTTTTTCTTTAATTTGATCAAAAGTAGGTCATCTACGCCAGAACTATAATATTTATGAGGGTTAAATCTATCGTGACCTGATTTTAATAAATTGTCAAAATTCGATTTCAAGACATATAAATTTACAGTTCGTCTATATTATCATATGGGATATCCCTCGGAGTTTCACCCACCATTCTTGTCTTATTTATCAACTAAATGCGAAATTGATTCGAAATTGTTGGGTATGAATCTAATTTTAACGAGTACACGAGTAATAGTTGTAGGTAGTTGGAACAGTAAAATCCATTCAATAAATGAATAAATTAACTAGCTTATCGATGAATATCTCAATAATATTATCGTATTTAAATCGACTATTAATTTAATAATGACAATTTATTACAATTTCAAATTGTAACATTAATTTTTCTATAATTAAAAGGAATCTAGATTAAACCTTAGTATAATTACATAGATCTATTATTCATTGAAATTTGATCATTTAATAATTAATTACATAATAATCAATCTTATTTATAAAGATAAAATACCGTAACCCAATATAATTTAGATACTATCAAATCTCTATATTTCCTATTAAGTCACTAATAAAACTATCCATGGTTTATTGCAAGTCTAATATGTTTCTTATTCCATTCAGGATTCTCACATTAATTATTCAACAAACTATCCTTTATTTGTGATAATTAAAGGGTTTGAATCAAATTCTAACACACAAATTACCCATTATGATTTAAGTGAGACTTATTATATAATAATGTATTTTTTACTTATCATTGATGGGTGGTTCACCAATAAATTAATTTAAAAAATATATATATTAGAGAAGGTTGGTATTGACCTTCTATTTTTTTGCTTGATAACTTTTTTATTTTATCAAATACAATTCTCAACTTAGACATGTAACTCAATATGTCTCATTTAAAAAAGTTGATAAGACCCATTCATTTAACGGTCCCCTTCATTTGAAATACAAATTTGAGATATATAGTATTTTTTGACATGTAAAATACCACATTTTAATTAAAAGTAATATTATTTGGATTTAAAATTTTTGATCTAATTTATTGGTATAATGATGTGACTTCAGTAAAAATATTAGATCAACATCAAAATTTTAAAATTTGATGGATCTCACGGATAATTCAAATATCATAATTAAATTAGATCAATAAATTAAATTTCAATAACTTTACTCTTTAATTCGTGAAAAACGTGGTTCTCGGTCCGTCAACTTGCTTTTCCATTGGAAAAAACCCTTACCTTTACAGCCGTACACGCGTCAGATAGTTGTCGGTTGTCCACGCTCCTGTGATTCTGAGACTTTTCCTTTTTTTTTTCCAACGATTAGGGTCCCTTTTTGGTCCAATTAAATATAAATTATTTAAGCCGATATTATGATATTTTTTATTAATTCTCTGATGAAAATTTAAAAGAAATTATATAATAAGCACAGCCAAATATAAAAAATAAATATTGATTTCTCATTCCAAAATTTATTCATGTTTAATACCAATCGAAACCTTAAATCTATAAAAAAGATTAAGGGTTACCTCTTCAAACGTTCTTTTAACAATTGTCAAATTTTTTCAAAAATTTTGAATCTTCAAATCTTAATTTGATCTTTATCTCAAGTCTCGCAATTATGATTTATCGATATCATATAAATTGATAAAATTGAAGTATCTACCTCAACTTTTGATAAACTAATAATAAACTACCTTTGATAAACTAATAATAAACTAATAGAGAGAAGGATGAGTAGATTTTCTTGTGCTAGTAAGTCAGAGTTATTATTTCATCTATCCATCTCTTATGTGAAGGTATTTATAAAGCCTTAGAATAGGGTCTAGTTCCAATTATCTCATAATTATATATAACTCATTTTATTAATCACTAATTATAATAAAGTCTCTAATTAACTTTTAATTAAGTTTTCACCTTAATTTACTCTTAATTGTTTTTTTCTCCTTTATCATTTAGTTTTCAATTAATTTTATTGTGTGTGACCTTATAACTCTTCGAATGTCATGCATAATACTAACTATAAGTAGCATATCAAATTAGAATTTTTTCTAATTTAACTTGAATTGGAATTCTTCCAATTCTCTCTTTGTGAAGAATAATTAATATATTTATATTAATTTCATTCTTCAGACTTCTACTAATCATGAATGAAGTATATCATAATCAATCTCTGGATAACACAAAATAGATAAAAAAATCCATTCAGTATATAATAACCATGTAATTCAATTCTTCTATCATATAATACCCACATTGAATTACTAGGATATAAAATTACTATCAAACCCCTAATTTAATCTTATATATTTGATTTTAATATTATGACTCTTTGAGTTATATCCTAGAAGAGCACATATGACATGCATCATTCGAGATAACATAAGAACATTCTCTTGGAAACCAAAAACAAGAATCTAATTGAGAGAAAAATTAGAGATATTTTGTTCCACCACATAAAATTATTGGATTCTTGCATTTCAAAGAATTTTCATGATAAATCAAACAATCTTTTATAGGGTTTAATAATTCATAAGAGCTAATAGGTCCTTTTAACTATCTATATATGATTCGTCTACTCATAAGTCTCCCTGTATAGCTAACTATATCCAACAATACATATCTAAATTACATGGTTAGTATATAAATATAATGTGTAGTTAAAATATAGAAATTTATGCACAAGACAACTATAATGTTTCAAGTTTAAGGACTTAACATGGCAGCTCATTGGGTGGCAGCAGAAGTGATGTCGGATTTACTTATAGTGAATTGGATCAGCTGTCCTCCTCACGAGCTTACAATTTTACTTTTATCTGATTGTAACCAGCATTTTTCTACTTAAATGAAATTCATAGTTCATGTTTTTGATAAAAAAAATAAAATAAAATTATATAACTCTAACTTTAAGATTTAATATTGAGAAGTATGTAAAACTTCACATGAAAAATTCTATGTGAGTCAATGGTCACATTCAATATACTTATTCTCTAATAAGTACCCACACACCTAATTTAGTTTTTTTACACCAGTGACTTGAATGAGTTATCTCATATCAAATATGAGTAAACATAGTATATGTTAATTTATCCGGATTACATAGTAAAGCTATGATTAAGAATATTTAAGAGTTAAGTACTAAAAAGTATATGTCTTATCTTCTTAACTTTTTGAGAAAACCATCTTCTTAACTTATACTCTATGAATTATATCATATATATTAAAATAAAATAAAGCAGAAATATGATAAATAAACTTACCATTTTATTTAATTCAATAATGAATGTTATCAGTATAACCCCAAAATATCATCTATACGATTGGTCTTGGAGCATATTACTAACAAAACTATTAACTTCAGAATCAATTCATGAGAAATAAATCTCTCATATTGAATTTAAAGAAATTTTCAAGATTCAAATTCAAAACGTTTAAATTTATAATTTGTCTCTATTATTATTTGAGCTAGTCGTTGGAGTTAGACCTTATCCTTTTCACCAATGCTAGTGGGTGGCCAATTTATGTCGGTGATATTTATTAGTAATACCATTTAAATCTAATTTGTTGATATGATTTGTTAATTTAATCTATCGCAATTACTAAATTAATTGTGAGTTTTACTAAATATTATAATCTATTATCATATTTTTATTTAATAAAAAATAAAAGTAACGTACCAAAAAATGATATTTCGGTCCCATAATTGTACCTAAAGACTTTACACAAAAGAAAAGGTCATTCCAGCCCTTCATCTTCAATTCATCTCTCATTGGGCATGTTTGGAGGATGGTTTTGGGGTAAAGAGTTGGATTAGTTTTATCAAACTTATCCTTCATTTTTGTGTACATGAGATTCATATATGAATTCTATTCATATCCGTGTTTAGTAAGTAATATATATACATGTGAGACCTACAAATTTATCACAATTATCAACACCTTTATTTTTTAAATGACTATATTACCCATTGTCCAATCCATATTCTTGTTTGTTTTTTTTAATTACATAGAGGAGTAATTAAGGGGGAGGGGAGGTTGAGATGTGATTTGATAGATAAAATATTTTATTAGGGATAGAAAGATCATTTGACATAGTTAACCTAGACTAGTATATATGAAACCCATCTCCCAAATTTACTCTATCTCATGTATGTGAGTTTAATACATTGAACTCCTTACAGGTCAGGATATAAATCCCGATTTTAAAAATACTAACTAAATACAAAATTACAGGGTCTATCAGACTATTTTTCTTTAACCTCCCTTTTAAAACCCCCAAACCTAATAAACCAACAGGCCCCTTTAGTACTACTCTGAGTCTAAAGTGCTTGATATAATTAATATTATATAATAGATAGTATTTAATGTACTAGGATTAATATTAATATTTAAAATGATTAAAGTATCTTTTATAAGGTAAAAAGAGTTATGCATCCGGGTTGGGTGTTTAAACTTAATATCATACACTAATATCTCATTTAAATATGATATTACTATTAAAATAATGAATCTAAATCTTGTACTATTAACCTTAACCAATCATGATATAATAGAGTTACGATAAAATAGTTGGTTCATAATTTATCAATAAAAATTGGAATGAAATTAATTGTTTAATTCCATCTCATATTGTACTCGAATCAAACATGCCTTTAGGGTAAGGGTTATTGTTAAGGGGTGACAAAATATGATATGATTCGTTAACAATATACAAAATTAGAAGGTTTGAATCTTTTTTAAAACACTCGTTTTGTAAATGAGTGGAACCGACATGACACGATTAATAAATGATTCGTGTATGAGTAAAGTTAATCAAAAAAAATAAATACACGACATGATTCGTTTATATATCAATTATATACGATATAATATACGATACGAATCTGATATAACACGGCTCGTTAGACTCGAATTAACAAATAAATTGTGTATGAGTGAACTATTTTTTAACACGAACTTGCGTCACTTGACACGATTGACAGACCTAGTTATTATATCGAAGTTGACACTGCACCACCGTCAATCTCTACATTAATTTTGATGTTTTAAAATTGTTACATGAAAAAAGAATAAAAATTTATTCACACGACGCATTTTTATTAATTAAAAATTAAAATTATGATATAAAAAAAAACGTATTTCCAGAGCACTCCTCTCCCTTAACCTTGTCTTTTTGTTGCGAGTAATGTTACATGGACCCATGGCTGTAATTTACCACCAACTAAAAGCCCGCTCATCAACGAACCTTCTGTTTGTCTATTTGTGCAAGTATTCCCTAACCCTTAAATAAAGAAAGGTACATTAAAAAATTTTATGGCGGATTTAGTATGGGGGCAGCGGGAGCAGTTGCCCCACTGAAATTTTAAAAAATTTTGGGATCTACGTATAATTTTAAAAATTTCAAGAATTTCTTAAACTTGTTCCCACTAAAATTTTTTTAAGTATAAGGTATATTAATATAATTTCCAACCCTTAAAAGCTAACTTTTGGGAGCTCCTCCTCATTTTTCGAGCCTGGCTGCTGCCTTCGGTGAAATTTAAAAAGTTTCTAACCTAAGTGTAATTTTAAAATTTTCAAGAATTTCTTAAATTTATCCCACTAAATTTTTTTTAAAATATAAGGTATATTAACATAATTTTAAACCCTCGCAAGCTAACATTTTGTAACTCTTTTTCACGCCTATTTTTTTTTTCCATAAGCCTTCATTTTCTTCGTCCAAACTTTCAATCTAGTCCAGACATCCAACTCTTCTTTCTTTTATTTAGTTTCTTTGGTGTATTCATCAATAAATTAGCCTATTAGATTCAACCATGGTGCAAATCAAATTTGAAAAAACCCTAGAAGATTATGTTGAAGCTAATGAGAGGTAATCCATTAATCAAATTTTTTGATAATACTATTAGCCTACTCTAAAATCAAATTTTTATATTAGAAAATTAGTTTAACTCTTGTAAAATTGATGATTGTTTGACGTATTATTTATGGACTTATGTAGGTTTTTTTTTGTTTCGTCTTGGATCTCCACTCAACTATTTTGAATTTTTGTTAAAGTTTATGTTCAAATTGGCTATATGAGATTCTTGGTTAGAGTTATTTTTTTTTCCTATATGATTAAATTGCTTTAATTGATTTCTTAAAATTCTAGTTTGAATTATATTTTAGATTTTTGGATTATATTTTGATTATGTGTAATCTATTATCTTATTTGTTACGAAATTAATGACGAACTCTTAAACTTAAATTTAATTACACAAATTTATTTTTTAATCATAAATTGTCCACCGAGGCAAAATGCTGGCTCTGCCGCTGTTTACAGGGACATAATTTTTGCACCATAATGTCCGGGTGCAAGTGTTTTCATTGGAGCAGTGTGGTGAATTTCTCTCAGCCCCAGCCACAAACTTTCTCTCTCCCGACTCCAATTACCCAATGGCCTGAAGGTATGTGAAAGTTGTTTGCTTAAGGTTTCTTTTATCCCTCTTTATAGTGAATGTTGCAAGATACATGGATATTTGAAATTCATACCCTCGTCCTAAACAGGTTTATATGTAATGGGTGTAATTCCCCTTCACATTCTCACATATATATTCTACTATAAGGTCACTTTCACTTTTTTTTTTCTTGCTTTGACTCATTCTTCTAAGGGGTGAAATTCTCAATGTATACCCAACATTGACTGTGAGCAATATGTGGGGTTTGATCATTCTTCTTTGGGAAATTTTGAGTTTTTGGGTTCACCTGAGTTCTGTTTGAAAAGACTGTTCTGATCAATAGGGTTTTATCAGATTTTACTTTTCGGATTGAGTTGTTTTTGACAATCCAGGTTTCCTGTGGAGACTGATCATATATGGAAGGTGATTTGAAGAAAAAAATATTTTTCTTGTTCACCTGATGATTGACTTGTGTATATTTGTTTATCTTCATATTCTTTAGTGTGTGCATATTATATATTTATGTGTGCTTTTCTATAGTTTCTGTGAAAAGTAGTTTTAGAGTAATTAAAGCTTGTACTGAAGGGTTAAACTTAAAAATTTAGCTGCTTTACTTGATCTGTTATAGAGAGTCGTTCTCTTTCCTGGTTTATTTTAATGATTTTTTTGGTTATTTCTTTACTTTTTGCTTCATCGTCTGTGATTTGTAATCCTGACCATATTTTCCGTACCTCTACTTGATAATCTCTCATATTAAAGGAAGAATTGTCATACATTTTCTGAGCATGTTACTAAATATTTTTGATAATTCTGAAAGGTCTCTGTTGTTGGATTTTTGTTATTCATCGAACTTTTATCCTTTTAATTAATATGGATTTGACCATCTATAGTGTCCCACTAGACCAATACTCCAATCTTGTGTTAGACTTAGCTTGCCCTTACAAATCCTTCCATTTACTTTGGACTCAGCCTCCAGTTGATGGGGTGGAGTTTGAGACTTTACATAACGGGGCTTTTCCTCTACACCATTTTTATTTTAAGAATTATTTTATTCCCCCCCCCCCCCCCCCTCCCTAATTGCCCGCCTTTTCCTCTTCTGGAGCTGAGGGAAGGGAGTTGATATTATTATCTCCATTGTGTCTTGTAAAACTTTGATAAGGACCTTTGAGTTTATAGTATGAAATTCTGATATCAGAGGCTCTTCAAATGCAATGTGCATTATTTAGCTCATTTGGTTTTCATTTTCTATCCCCTTCATATTTGTTGTTCTCTTTTAACCAATCACTTCTATTTGTTAAGGTCAAGGATTTGCTTCTGGAACAATTAATTTAGGAGAAATAGAGGTTCTCCTAATCACCAAGTTTGAGTTTGTTTGGGGATGCAATCTGTTGAAGGACAAGAAAAAAGGTGTTAGTTTTTATAAGCCAATAGGAGTACCAAAAGGATATTTCAGTCTTGGTCACTATTGCCAATCTAATGATAAGCCCCTAAAAGGGTTTGTATTTGGGGCCCGGGAAGTGGTGTCACCTGAGCCAGAAAATTCCTGCTTTTGCAACCCAGATTACTCCCCAGCCCTTCTCAAGCCCCTGGATTATGCCTTAATTTGGAGTCCTGATGATGGGAGTCAAGAAAATCATGGCGAATGTGGTTATTTCTGGTTACCTCAACCTCCCGAAGGTTATAAAGCTTTGGGCTTTGTTGTCACCAAGAAGCCTGAGAAGCCCGAGTTGGAGGAAGTTAGATGTGTTCGAGCCAACCTGACAGATCAATGTGAAGCATACTGTTTGATACTCAATACCAGTTCTAAATCTCCACAGAAACCATTTGCAGTCTGGAAAACTAGACCCCAGGATCGGGGAATGCATGGGAAAGGTGTCTCAGTGGGGACACTTTTTTGCAGTAGCAACTGGACCTCCCAGGAAGAGCTACATATTGCTTGCTTGAAGAACTTAAATCCCACTCTACATGCAATGCCCAATCTCGGTCAGATTCATGCACTCATCAGGCACTATGGTCCTACTGTATTTTTCCATCCGCGTGAGGTCTTTTTGCCATCCTCTGTTTCATGGTTTTTCGAGAACGGAGCACTATTGCACAGAAGTGGTGCATCAGTTGGTGAGACCATTGATGCTGCGGGCTCAAATTTGCCTTGTGGCGGGACAAATGATGGTGAGTACTGGATAGATTTGCCAAGTGATGATCGGAGGGAGAGGGTCAAGCATGGAAACTTGGAAAGTGCAAAAGTTTATGTTCATGTCAAGCCAGCCTTAGGTGGGACATTCACTGATATTGTGATGTGGATTTTTTGTCCCTTCAATGGGCCAGCCAAACTCAAGGCTGGTGTAACAAATATTGCTCTTAGCAAGATTGGGCAGCATGTTTGTGACTGGGAGCATTTTACCCTTCGAGTCGACAACTTCTCAGGAGAGCTTTGGAGTATATATTTTTCACAGCACAGTGGTGGTCAATGGGTGGATACTTTTGATTTGGAATTCATAGATGGAAATAAAGCTATTGTTTATGCATCAAAAAGTGGTCATGCAAGCTTTCCTCATCGTGGAAGTTACATTCAGGGGTCGTCAAAGCTTGGGTTTGGAGTGAGGAATGACGCTGCTCATAGTAATTATTATGTGGATTCCAGCATCCAATATGAAATTGTTGCGGCTGAGTATCTTGGAGATGGAATCGTCAGTGAGCCATGTTGGTTGCAATATATGAGAAAGTGGGGTCCACCTATTGTGTATGATTCGAGAACTGAGCTGAATAAAGTCATCAGTAGTTTGCCTCTGATGCTTGGACTTTCAGTGAAGAAATTTTTTGATAAGTTTCCTGTGGAGCTGTATGGAGAGGATGGCCCTACTGGGCCAAAGGAGAAGAACAACTGGGTGGGGGATGAAAGATGTTAGGTTGATCATGTTCTTCACCTTCTTTCTGGGATGGTTGTTCTTTATCCGTTTCTCATATATAATCAGTTCCTTAGCCATTCGGTCTTCCCTCTTGCTTGGCCTTTGCCAGCCACTAAAGCAAGTAAGAGAACCTAAAGTGAATGAACTTAAAAGAACTGCATATTTTGACTGGAGTATACTCCCTTTTTTTTTTTCTTTTTTTGGGGAGGGGGGGAACTGACATGGTCAGAAGATCGTAGCTTCAACCGCTAAGGCATCTTTTCTTCCAAAAGAGAATTCATTACCTGATCTGAAATGAATACTAATGTAGAAAGATGTATCAAACAATAAGTCAGAAGAAACAAACGCCAGATGAGTAGAAAAGCCAGAAAAAGCCTAAGCCAATATGCGGAATGGAAGGAGACGGGATGACTGACTGGAAACGTTTAGTTGTCCCTCCATAAGTAAGTTTTTCAGTAAATTAGCTTGATATTGTTGTAACTGTTTCTATACATGTCATTTTCTGTTGTAGAAAGTGGGATATTTACAGTAGGGAAGACTATCCAGATATCTGCTTAAAGGACTTTGCATTGATAATTTGGTAGCAGGTTGTAGGCAGATTCTTCAGCCTTGCTTGTATGATATTGAAACATACTCTCAATGATTGTAAGATAAGCCAAACAGAACAGAATCGTCTCTTGTTATGTAACATTTTTCAATTCTCAAGTAGTTGCATGATTGATGTTAATTTCTTTTACTTCTCTGATTTGTAATCTCTCATTTATCATTGTTTACTTCACCTCTCCAATCGTTTCCATGACAGTGTCTTTGTATGATCCTTGTATTCTTTGCAGAAATTCGCCTGCAAGGTGACCGACTATTGTTTAATCTCCTTGTTTTTTTTTTTTTTTTTTTTTTCTGGTGAAGTATAGAGTTTTATCCATGAAATTTGAAAGGTTAGACTTGAGGTCAAGCATTCCCTGCTTCGTCCTATGACACTAACCTTGGTGTTCATATGTTGTCCGGGGGGGGGGGGGGGAGATGCACTCACAGTCTTCTTATCGTATCCTGCCACGAGGACTCGAGGGGTCTTCCAGCACCAAAGCCACTAGTATATAGTATGGGTTGGGGAGATGACATTCCCCTTGCAAATTGGAACAAACTAACTGCCATACAAGGAAGAGGGGAAGAAAAGGTGACAAAAACTTCTGTTTGAGCATCCGGATTCATTTCTAAATGTGTGTACTTGATCAACTAGGGAAAAAATATTGAGCATAACGATGACACCTTGTAATCATTGTCACGTAGTATCATCATCTAATAAAAGTATAACAAATGAGAAGGTGGATTTCACATATTATAGTAACAACCCTACTATATCGTTTAAATTCCCACTCAAATGGAATTCATTTTACTAATTTATAAGTTTATTTTTGAATAGTGACACTACGTGTCGATGATGACATAATGTTACCGTTACAAGTAATATTTACTGGCCAACTAAAAAGTTCATTGTGGAGAGTCCATAATATGATTTGTCTAAAATACCCATGTTGGTAATCTCATGAGATGCATTTATCGGTTCGATTTTAATTTAGGGTTTTTTAAATTATAAGATGAACTAAATGCGATTAAATTTCTAAACTCATTGTAAACTAGCCGATTTTAATTAACATGTGGCGCGGTTCAAGTGGGTTGAACTTAACTAGAATAAGGTTGGAGTTGGTCAAAACCAACTCTAGTTAAAGGGATTAATGGAGAAAAATTTTGGTTGAAGCAATGAAGTTAAACTAATATGGCAACCAAACAACTGCTAAGAACTATTTGGATAATTTATCATTTTTTAAAAAATATTTTTTTAGGTAAATTACACTGACACCCCTTATTTTTTTCTAACATTGTCACTACACTCTTCTTGTTTTTAAAATTGCATTAACATCCCTGGATGTGACTGATTGTAACAGATGCCCCTTTAAAGCAAAGACAGTAAGGTCTATAATAATATAAACAATTTTTTAACTTAAAGTTCCTATTTTGCCCTCATATTAAAAAATATCTATTAAAAAATAACTACATAATAAAATTGTTATAAACATACCAAAACAGTAAATATTTATGAAAACAAGAAATACTTTCAGAACTACAATTGAATCACACCTAAAAAAAAGTCGAATAAAAACCGTACAAATAATGTCATTCAATTTTAAAAAACATCACCATTACTCTTAATATTCACAACCAAAAAAAACATATGGCTTCTTACTACTAGCATTGTCCTCAATATTCAACAACAAAACAAGCACGCAATTTACAACCAAAGTTGTAAACAAAAAATTTTCAGCACCCATTGTGCAAAATTAATCACTAGTATACTTCAACTAGGTAGCATTCACCAGCAAAAAAAAGTTTAGAGATAGTTTATTTGTAAAAACACAAAACCAACTGCTTTCGCATATATTTTATCACCAACATGTCTGCTCTAAACTTCCTGAAGCAAAAGTTTCTACGGTTGAACTTCCAACACAACAGTCCCTTTGTACTATAAACGTAAGGATTACTGCAATGTATACTACAGTCCCTTTGGGAAACCCTTTAAAAAAAATTACCATGAAAACCCTTTAAAAAAAAATTAACTGAACATTTGAACCGAAAATATGGGTTCGAACCGCAAAAACAAACCTTCTGAAACATTGTTTAGATTTCTACATGCATGCCCTAAATAACCTCAATAACTCATACAAATATGATCCATACTGTTAACCCTCGATTCAACAACAAATACCTTAAAATGGGTAGTACCTCACTGTTTGCTCTCTGTCCAAATTATGCGATCGAACACTGAAAGATGGAGTTTGGGTTCAAATCTTTACACGAACGAACACGAGAACTTTAAGACATAAAAACTCTCTGTTCTCTAAATCTCTCTTCCGAAACTTCGTGGTGTTATGAAAAAAAGAAAAAAACATAAAAAAATATATATATAAAACACGAGAGGGCAAAATTGTAATTTTATGATATCAGTCAATGTGATTACACTGACACGCCTCTTCTTCTTTTTCTCTTCCTCATTGTTTTTGGAAGATGTAATGGGCGATTGAAGCAACGCCTAAGATTACTTCTTTTTTATGGAAGGTGGCGGTGGGAGGTATTGCCACTAGACACAGCCTATGGAGAAGGAGATATGCCATTCTCCTGTGTTGTCCGGTTTGTGGAATGGAAGAGGAAACAGTGGAACATCTTTTCCTTTTATGTCCTTGGGTGGTTGAGGTTTGGGGCAATTCTCCACTGCAAATTCAAGTGGATCGTTTCAATGTCTCTAGGATTGAGCTTTGGTTGATGGACCATTAACAGAATGGTCCTGGGGGAGGCTGGAGTGCGAAAGAGTATCGCTCTTTCATTGCTTATATGCTGTGGTTCATATGGAAAAGCATAAATAATTGGTGTTTTAATGGAAAGCTTGTGGATAGTGTGACAGTCGTCAAACAGACAGAGATGGCTATTACGGCGTTGCATCCCCTTCGAGTGGCTGGGACTGATACCCTGTCTAAGCAGGCGGTTTCAGCTCCTTGGTCTGCCCCTCCACCTGGATGGGTGAAGGTTAACTGTGATTGTGCTTTTTCTGCAACAAGAAAACGAGGTACGTATGGGGCTGTGGCTAGAGATCCTACAAGCCAGGTTATTGCTGCTTCATCAGGAAAGATGTGTGTTGCCTCTGCATTGGCATCTGAAGCCTGGGCCATCTGGAAGGCGTGCTATTTGGCATTGACTGAAGGCTGGAAGTTTGTTATTTTTGAAAATGACTCAAAAAGCTCTCATTAATTCTTTGGTGCTGGCGCCTACAAAGTGATGTATGACTTCTGTCTTCCCAGCTCACTGCTGTTAATTTTCTTTTTGTCAACAGATCTGCTAATCACTTAGCTCCCATGGTTGCTCATCTGACCAATTGTGAGAGTCTTCCTGTTAACTGGTTTTTGAATCCTCCATTTCATGTGCTGCAACAGATCCAGCAGGATGTTCGTGTGGGCATCGGTTAATTCCTATTTCTTTTATTTGTTGTAAGTATATTTTTTTGTAAGTCTGTTTTATGAATGACCAGAAAAAAAAAAAAAAAAAACTACCAAAGTTCGGGTTATAGGGTAAAATCGTTGAGTCCCAGACGCTGCCGCCATTGATTACAGTCACCAAAACAGGTCCAAACCATTTGTGCTCTTTCTAGGGTTCCACTTCCGGGGAAGAGAGAGAGAAGCAAAGAATGAATAGGTTAATCTCCTTCCTACAGAGGAGTCCAGCATCACCAGTATCGAGGTAACCCCTTTCGCTGCCCTCCATCAAATTCACTCTCTCTCTACTATAAATTGTTGAAATAATGACATTTGTTGCACAGACATTGATGATATATCGTACATTTGTGGTGTTTACTGAATTATAATTGTAAATGATCTCTAACTCACATACCCCAGTACTTGAAAATGAAATCGGCTTATTTGTTAAGCAGTTCGGCGAAGTCGGTGGAGGAAGGGACTACCAGATCATGGGGTGGTCGTAAGGTGGTGTCAGGCGCCTTGATTTGTCTAATAGGTAGTGTCGCTTCGAGGGCTCTCGATGACCTCGCCGTTTATCATGGCTGTAGCAGGTAAATTTACAATTATATTTGACAGCCATGCCTATTTGTCAATGAAATTGGTGTAGTTGTTTGATAGGATGATGGAGTTGATGATTGATAGATTCCATAGAAAGTTGGAAAGAAGAAGATAGATGTACACAGAGAAATTAAGAGAAACAAAGATTTCTTTTCATACATTCTCAGTTGTAGTATACAAGTATTTATAACCAAAAGTTAGATACAATGCTAGCTAGGATTTAACTAACTAACAGACAAACTTGTAGGTTAGTTGTTGCAACAAAAGAATTGCATCCCTTCACGTGACAATAGCTGATATATGAGAATTTCTTGTGTGTAGTGTTGGTATTGTATAACACATCCCCTCAAACTGATGGTGGGGGACCAACCAGTAGTTTGTATCTGAGAAGCAAAAATCTAGCAGAAGATAGACCTTTGGTGAAGACATCAGCCAACTGATCCTTAGTAGAAATATATTGGACAGTTAGAGATTTATTTGCCACCTTTTCGTGGATGAAATGAAAGTCTATCTCTATATGCTTAGTTCTGGCATGAAACATGGGATTAGATGCAAGTGTCAAAGCTGAAATGTTATCACACCAAAGAGTAGGAGTGTGAGCTAGAAAAAGCTGCAAACTCTATAAAAGTATTTGTAACCATTTAAGCTTAGCAGTGGTTTGAGCAAGAGCTCGAGTAGAAGACCTAGAGACAGTACTCTGTTTCTTTGTAGACCAATGAATGGGATTATCTCCAAGAAAAAGAAGATATCCTGTAGTAGACCTTCTGTCATTAGGATCCCCTGCCCAGTCAGCATCTGTAAAGGCTGATAGAGTAAAAGAACTAGGTCTATAAGAGAGACCAAAATGAGAAATGCCCTTGAGATACCTCAGAATCCTCTTGACTACTGCAAAATGAACATCTGTAGGAGAGCTCATATATTGACAAACATGATTGACTGAAAAGATAATATCAAGTCTGGTAAAAGTGTGATATTACATAGAACCAACAATACTTCTGTATAAAGATGGATCAGCCAGAGGAGATCCATTTGATTTGCCAAGTCTAGAAGAAGCAGCACATGGAGTCTTGCATGGTTTGCAGTCAGTCATTTTGGCTTTTTGAAGAAGATCAGTAGTATATTTTTGCTGATTAATGAACAATCCTGTGGATGTATACTGAATTTCCAATCCAAGAAAGAAATGTAAAGGGCCAAGATCTTTCATCTCAAAAGATTTATTAAGATTTGTCTTAAGAGAAGAAATGTAGAGAGGATCGTTGCCAGTGATGATTATATCATCCACATAGAGCAAAAGAATAGTAAGAGATCCTTTAATAGTTATGACAAACAGAGAAGGATCAGCAGAAGATGCAGTAAAAGAATAAGAAGAGAGATGAGTGGTGAATTTCTCAAACCAAGCTCTAGGAGCTTGTTTAAGATCATAGAGAGATTTGTGCAATTTACAAACATAATGAGGAGTTATAGGATCAGAAAACCCTGGATGTTGAGTCATATAAATTTCTTCATGAAGATCCCCACGCAAAAAGGCATTTTTGACATCAGGTTGATGTAAAGACCAGTGGAATTGAGTAGCAAGGGCAAGAACAAGCTTAACTGTAGCATGTTTAACCATTGGACTGAAGGTTTCATGATAATCAACCCCATGTTCTTGATGAAATCCTTTGGCCACCAATCTGACTTTATATCTAGAAACGGTGCCATCAGAATTGTGTTTGATTCTGAAAACCCATTTACAACCAATAGAAGAGTGGTTAGAAGGAGGAACCACTGTCCAAGTTCCCTAACGTTGCAAAGCAAAAAACTCTTCAGACATACCCTGTCTCCGCTCAGGAAATTTAGATGCAAAAGTAAAAGAGGTAGGTTCAGCAACTGAAGTAGCAGAAATGTAGGCTTTAGGCTTGAAAATACCAGATTTAGCTCTAGTTTGCATAGGGTGAGTAGAAAGAGATGGGGGTAGAACTGATGAAGTAGGATTTGGGGAAGAATTAGACATCAGAATTGGAAGAAGATATGTCAGAAGATATAGGGAAAGTAGAGGATGCAGGTTCTGGAGAAGAAGTCAAAGATGTAGTAGTAGGTACAGTAGCTGATGCATGAGAAAGAAGAAGAGGAAGTAACTTAGTAGACGGTATAGGAGAAACAGAAGGAAGAGAGCCCAAGAGAGAAGATGGAGAAGACTGAGAAGTACCAAGAGAAGAAGAGATAGGAAACCAATGACTAGGATCAGGAGGAAAATAAGAAGAGGAAGAAAAGGATGTAGCATAAGGAAAGGTTGTTTCATCAAAGATAACATGTCTAGATGTATAAATTCTATTGGTTTGAGGATCAAGGCACAATTAACCTTTGTAATCAAAAGAATAACCAAGGAACACACACTGAGTAGTCTTAAGCTCAAGTTTATGATTAGAATAAGGCTTAAGCAGAGTATAACAAGCACAATCAAATATTTTGAGAGTTGAATAATCAGGAAGTGTGTTGTGCAGAAGCTCATAAGGAGATTTGTTGGCTGTGTTTTTGCTAGGCATTCTATTAATAAAAAAATCATATGGCAAAGAAGCTCTGGCTAATAAAGTAAGAGCAGTTTCAGTGATGTGACAATGTTTCTTCTTAGCAATGCCATTTTGCTGAGGAGTGTAAGGACATGACTTGGTATGATAAATGTCATTGCACCAAGATAATCAAGAAAAGAAGAACTAAGATATTCACCACCTCCATCAGAATGAAAAACTTTAATGCAATGAGATAACTGTTTTTCCACAAAGGGTTTAAACTTAGTAAACACAGAATAAGCATCAGACTTAAGAACCAAAGGAAAAATCCAAGTAAACTTGCTATAGCTATCAATAAAGGAAATGTAGTATTTAAAACCATGAAAAGATACATGAGGAGAGGGCCCCAGACATTATTATGAATAGTATCAAGAGGGATTACAGATCTAGATGTAGAAATAGAAAATGGTAACTTGGCCATTTTGCCATACAAATAGTATTCACAAACACAAGCAGGTCTAGAAGACTGAGGTTGTGGTAACTTGGAAGTAGAGAGAATTTGATGTAAGACTAAATTCGCAGGATGTCCCAATCGATCATGCCAAGTGTGATGAGAAATTCTGGATCCAAGATAAGCAAAAGGAGAGATAGAAGAGTGGCTGAGTGCATGAATGGGATATAAACCATTATTACTCTTGCCTTGGTAGAGAATTTGCCCAGTAGCTTTGTCTTGAATAGAAAAAGAGTTAGAATCAAATAAGAATTGACAATTGTTGTTAGTGCAAAATTGTTTGACTGATAATAAATTGAATGCAATAGAAGGTACGCGAAGAATATTAGTGAGTTTGAAAGAATAAGGAGTATGAAGAAAGGTATAACCTGTATGTGTAATAGGTAGTTCATGACCATTGCCAATAGAAACTTTGTCTTCTCCAAAGTAAGGAGAGGAAAGAGAAAGATCCTCAAATCTTGAGGTTGGGTGATGCGAAACACCAGTATCAGTGAGCCAATAGCTACGAGTGGAGTGACCAGTGGATGCAGTCATAGCAGAATACTGAGAAGAAACATCAGAAACAGCAGACAAGAGTGGCTGTTGATTACCGGAAGAATATTCAGAAGAAGCAACCATAGCATTGAAAGGTGGAGAAGAAGAAGACTGAGCTTGATAGGCACTGTTCATACGATGATAACAGTTAACAGCACTATGACCAAACTTTCCACAGATCTGACAATAAATTTGAGGCTTCTGTGAGAAGGAATTAGATTTAAACTGTTGAGAATGAGATCTGTTACCAAAATTGTTTCTGCCTCCTCGATGAGATCCACAACCTCTGTAACCAAAAAATCCTCTGCCTGAACCAGAATTGGGACGAGGAAAGTTAGGATCATAGACTTTGCCTTGTGAAGCAGCCATAGCTGAGGGATTAAAAGAATTTGGAAATGATTTAGAAGATGCTAAAACAGAAATTTCTTCTGCCTTTGGTAGAGAATGAAGATCCTCAAGAGAAAGAGGCTGAGATCTAGTTCGAATTGCTGTTCGAAAAGCACTATATTCAGGTGGTAAACCATTGAGTGTATACAACAGTATATCTTCATCTTCAATTATAACCGATACTGCTTGAAGTTTATCTCTAGCTTCTTTGATTTTCTGCAAGTAGACATCAATAGAATCTGATCCTTTGATGATAATTTGAAGCAGAGATTTAAGTTGCAGAATATTTGCTCTGGATTGAGAGGAAAATCTTCTTTCCAGTGCAAGCCAGACATCCTGAGATGTAGTATAGCCAACAACATGTGCAATAGCAGAGGAAGAAAGTGTGGCATTAACAAGAGTCATAAGAGCTTGATCTTGAACAATCCACTACTGATACTGTGGATTAATCTCTGTAGTGACAACTCCAGTTTCATCAAATACATATTTGGATGGACAAGGAAATGATCCATCAAGAAAACCAAATAAAGAATGAGCTCTTAACAGAGCTGAGATCTGAAAATTTCAAGAAACATAATTGGAAGAATCAAGTCGAAGAGAAATAAGATTGCAGATATTAGACAACAAGTATATAGGTGAATGTGATGAAAAGGAAACTGTAGTTGAAGGTATAGATGAACAGGTAGAAGATGAAGTTGAATTAGTAGAAGCTGTGTTTGCCATTTGATAAGACGTTTGTCTTTGAAGATGGCTCTGATACCATGATAGATTCCATAGAAAGCTTGAAGAAGAAGATAGATGTACACAGAGAAATTAAGAGAAACAAAGATTTCTTTTCATACATTCTCAGTTGCAGTGTACAAGTATTTATAACCAAAACTTAGTTACAATGCCGGCTAGGATTTAACTAACTAACAGACAGACTTGTAGATTAGTTGCTGCAACAACCGGATTGCATCCCTTCACATGACAATAGCTGATATATGAGAATTGCTTGTATGTAGTGCTGGTATTGTATAATAATGATGACGAATTTTCAACAATAATGAACAACTTGGGTTAATAATCTAGTTTGCTATTATTCAATATAAGTGCTATTTGGTCCCTGAAAATGATTTAAGCCATCAGATTCATATTTGGGCTTCACATACCTTTTTTGCTCTTTTATATATGAAAATGGTATTGAACATAAGAAGTTCTGTTGTGTCTATGAGGCCGTAGTGTTGTTCTATCATATCTCATTGATTCTGTCTGTGCTAGAATTCATATTTTTGGTTATCTTTCTTTGTGTTTGAGCCGCTCATCTAAATTCTAGTTGCTTGAAGAAAATAGAGACGTCATTCAGACAAACTATATGAGATATTATCGTATTCGCTGGCTCCAACCAAAAAGCTTGGGTGGAGACCCTATTCTTACATGTAAACTTGAGAGGCCCAAGAAAAGGGATATGGGGTACAATTCTTCTGTCTGCATGCTTCTATGCCCTATCTCGCATGTAGCTTGGGATCACGTTTACGTGTATGGATGGACACAGTAACGAACAGACAGAGAATATGCAAACCAATAATGAATCTAAAAATGGGTGAATAACTTGGCCCATTGACCACCCAAGACCTTGTTCTGGTACTTTGTTTGATGGGTCCAACTCAAAACTTGTTAGTTATGGATGGAGAGGCTCCTAAACCTTACAAGTAACTTTGTGAGGCCATAAAATAGGATGTGGTACTCAATTTGCCTCTGCTATATTTATAACAATCAATCAATGCCATTTCAACCATGACTCTTGCTGGTGGCCATAGTAGAAATATCAAAGTTTTTGTCTTGCCTTGGTGTGCCTCTCAATCTACACGAGGCAACCTTCATTCATATTTCTTTCTTTCTGTTTTTTATTTTTATTTTCTAATTTAGGCAAAGATTAGATTTTACACCTTTATTACTCACCTCTATTTTAAAGAGTTTAATAATTAGTATCGATCTTTGTCATTTGTGCGAACAAATAGAAGATTAAGCAATGGGGTTTGTGTGTGTAAGAGATTGGAGGAAGCTGCTCAAAGATTTTTTCTAATCTGATGTATCCCATCTTTCGATAGAGAAAGCTTGGGAGAACATGAAGATGTAATCCTATTCTATGTCTGACAGCTTAATTTTAGTGGCAGTAACTGTGGAAGTTGAAACTGATATCAGTGAGTTGCATGCACGTTTTAATTTTATTCTTGTCGTTGTTACTGTTCTTGCAGCAAAGCCATTGAGAAAGCCAGCAAGAACAAGGCAATGATAGATGCTATTGGGGACCCTATTGTTAGAGGTCCTTGGCACAATGCATCACTTGCAGTAGATCCCAAGAGCCATTCTCTATCTTGCACATTTCCTGTTTCTGGACTGCAAGACACTGGAATCTTTCAGTTTAGGGCAGTTCGTAATGAAGGTTGGTACCATTTTTGAGTAGCTTTGTGTGGATTTCTCTTTCTTTTCTTCCTCCTTAAGTTCTTTCATACCTACAACCACTCATGATTATATGCCCAAAACTTCAGCACCATAAGCAAACAAACAATATTGATTTCTGCCTAAATGGTCCTTAGATTCACTAGGCTGTCTGGATTTGGTTTGTTGAGAAGTCTAAGAGTCCAGGAAATATAATTTTGGTGAGATGAATGTTATCACCATCTTCATTGAACCCAGAGAAAGAAACGGAAACGAACAACAAAAATAAGTTATAAATTGCACCCCTTTCTCTTAAAAAATTGGTTCTGCATTCATAACCTGCATCGATGTTGTGAACAGGTGACACTTGGTTTTCATTTTTGCTGGCCCCTGACTGGGATATCCTTATAATGAAAGCTATCCTCCATGTTCCTGGAAATGAAGAGAAGCAGCAAACATTTCGAATTAGTCTCGCAGATGACCTCCCTGGTCCAGCCTGCAAGACATGCATCGATCACCAGTCACCGAAAGCAGAGGAATCACAGAAGAAAAATGAATCTCAAGCTAGTTAATACCTGAGAATTTTAGTTTATTTTGGTCGTTTCATACAAGTGTTCAATCCTCAAAACCATTGCATAGTAAGTCGGAAGAGCTCCAAATTTGCTTTTCTCACTGAATAAATTTTGTTGGAGGTTTTTGAATGCTTATAGGTCATGTTTTGATGATCATGAGGGGTGGGGTTGGATTGGTTTTAAGAAATCATGAGGGGGGGTTGGATTGGTTTTAAGAAATCCCTTCAAATCCAACCAAGAGATTTTTACGTGGGATTTAATTATAAACTCAATCCAATTCTATGTTTGGTAGGTGACATCTATATAATAAATCAAATAGATGTTTGAACTTGTGGGAGATATATTTTTTCTCTCAAATTTTACACGCCCAATCCAACACACTTTTCTTCCCCAAATTTTAAAAACCTTACACACACACACTCCATAACACAGTTGGACATACATACACACACTCTAACTCACATATTCTAATGCATGCATAGTATTATAATTCAATGTATAGTGACTTTTGTCACGAGGTATTGCTAGTTACTCCATATTACACATTTTTGGTCAAAAGTTATCCTAATTTTAGTCAAAAATTATTCGAATTATTTTTTGCCTATATTTAGGTATAATGTGATAAATTTATGGTAAAAAATCGTTAGCAATTTGATTGTTGTCTGTTTGAGGGATCATATTGAAATATATTCAATATTTTAAGAATTAAAATGGTACAATTGAAATATTTGAGACCAAAATAAGACAAACTCTATATTTTGAGGACCTCTAGTGCAATTAACCTAATCAAAATTATATGCAACAAATTATAACTAAATAGTCATTTGTTCGATTTTCAAAAATTAGGCCCGTCCCAAGTTTTTTGAATTGATTTGTACATTCTTTGAATCGATAGTAATGATGATCTTCTTCGATGAGTCCACACCTTTAACGGGCTTCATTCAAGGACTTGTAAATGTACATGGGGTCTACGAATTCATGTCAAACTATATTACTTAATTTACTAAGATGTCTATTATTAGGTGAATAGAATAATAAATTTTGGAGTAAAATAATTTTTTTATCTTCAAATCTAATTTTTCACTTTTGAAACCCACCCTACATGGTTTTCATCAAACTTATACTTGGTTTTTAATGTACTATTTATAGTAGGTCAGGATATGAATTTCGGGTTTAAAAGTTTTTAAGTCTAATTAAGAGCAAATCTAATTAATCTAATTCACATTTTTAATCTAATTTGGTTTTTATCTTTAAATCTAATTAAGAACAATGTTATATGAACTTAAAAATTAGACTTGATAATTTCAACCATTGATTTCACTGTGGGTCACAGCATTTATTGGAACTCACTACCTATTCAATGGTTGAGATTATCAAGTCTAATTTTTAAGTCCATCTAATATTACTCTTTAATTAAACATAAAATTAAGGGGTTTATCAAACTATTTTTTTTTAAATCCCACCCAAAGCAGGTAAACAAACGGGCCCATAGAGTATGAAAATATATGACCCGTTTATCCTCATGCCTGTTTATTCATATGCATTTTTGTTTCTGAAAATTGTTATTGATCTTATGTTTGCTCCCTCCATGTACTACGAGTTATTCCACTAATGCTTAACTGCTGAGAGTCAGGCGTTAGATGAATATCATCAAGAAAAGAATTAAAAGATAGATACTTAAGAGGAGATGCGAATTCGTTAAGAACAATGTTGTAGGAACTTAATTTGGAGATTATCAGAGACTTAATTCAATGAAATCATTGAACTAATTATAAGTTACAATATTAGATAGAGCCTTGACAACCTCTTAGGAGCCAGATCAAGGAGAATTTATCTTTAATGAATATCTTAATTCTAATGTAGATGATTTGTCTTTAACTAGATAAAAGAGGAGATTAATCGAAATGAACAAAAATTAGTCCAAATATCACCGACCATTAAAAAAAAAAAGTCATTTCAATCCCAATTATTATATTAAATTAGATCTCTATATTAGATCTAAAATCACATTTTTTATCCCTACAAAGTATCTATTTGATGATTCCAATGTATGACGTGTTCCAAGTCACCTATTTGAAGATAAGTGATTATTATTCTTAGTAGGCCCCTCTCTACAAACTTAGAAAAAAATATTTGTGATATTAAAGTAATAGGGTGTGTTTGACAATTCATGGATGAATTGAACTGACTTGAATTTAAATTTCAAACCAGTCCAGTAAAATCTCAATTGGCCGAATTTAAAAAGGAATAAAAGTAATTTACATTATCCAATCTCTGCTTTGAATAGTGCATTATGATGTGGTTGAGATATGGACAAACATTAATTTTTTGTTAAACATCTAATACCTTTGATATTAATTGACCATTTTACCATTGAATCCTATCAGATCCTATCTCCATTTTGGCTTGAGGATTGTTGATTACCACTTTTTTTTTTGATCAACGTTGGTTACCACTTTAATATTGTGAAAAATATAAGAATGCTTATGTGTTCACCAAATACATGCTATTATACATTGATTTTATAATATAAGTTTATAAGTCGCTCACAAGTTTATTTTATCCACCAAAGATATTAAAAAAATTAGAAAAAAAATGCCTGAATATACAAGAAAATACTTCACAATCCAAATTCACATGAACCATAATATTAATTAACTGTTTTTTTTTGTTTAAAGAAAAGAAGAAAATTTTATTTCCAATCACCAAAAAAATTACAAGAAGCTAGTATGGGAAAAATCATATACAAACCTCCTTCAAAACATGTAAAAACAACAAAACTTATCTTAAAAAGAAAAATTCTATACAAAATCCCTATACAGTCAATCTGTCTTAGCCTTTATCATAAAAAATGAGCACATTTTTGAATTCCCATATATCCAAATACTAAAATATACAGAAACAAAGATCTCAGAGTAGAGACTCTCTCTCTCTTCTCTCTCTCTGTGTGATGACAATATGTTGGGTCAAAAAGAGAAAATAAAGAATTAAACTATGCTTTGTATTTTGGTATGAGAAAAAAAAAAGGGAAGGGAATGGAAAATTATCCTTCATAACAATTACGCATCCATCATTGCACAACCTAAAAAGGATCAACACTCCAACCTAGGAAAAATTGGATTTAATAAACCATAGAACCATTGACTTTCATGTAATGTTCAAATACATGTTAAAACATCACCGTTGCTCTTGGTATTCACAACAAAAAAAGACATGACTTACTACTAGCATTGCCCTCAATATTCAACAACAAAACAAGCATGCAATTTACAACCAAAGTTGTAAACAAAAAATTTTCAGCACCCATTGTGCAAAATTCACCACTAGTATACTTCAACTAGGTAGCATTCACCAGCAAAAAAAGTTTAGAGATAGTTTATTTGTAAAAACACAAAACCAACTGCTTTCGCATGTATTTTATCACCAACATGCCCACATCGAAATTCCTGAAGCAGAAGTTTCTACACTTGAACTTCCAGCACTACCTGCCCCTTTGTCCTATAAACGTAAGGATTACTGCAATGAAAAGTCATTCCATACTTTAAGCTATATTTTATTTACATTTGGGACCATATTTTCGGTATGGAATTTTCGGTATGGTACCAAAAATTTAACGTGCACTGTAGATTTATCTAACAAAAAAAGTGAATTGTTGATTAATGTGTCTTTTGAATTTTTTTTTTTTTCCAAATAGTAACCAGTTACCTGTTGGATACCGGTTGGTAGACAAGACAAGACAAGACAGTGAAATGACATGTCAGATAGTACATCATGATTACTAATAGTAATTTTATTAAAATATAATACAATGTTGATACCATAATAAAGGGAATATTTACAACTTCAATGGATTATTTAACAAATTTGTAAGAATATTTACATTTTCAATTGATTTCCTATCACATTTATAGCAATATTTACAAGTTCAATAGATTCTTTACAATTGTGGGAATACTTGAGATTTCAATCGAGCAAGATATACCAGTTTTGTGGCAAAATTACTAGTGGAGAGTAGTATTTACTAATTGAATGATATTTTTTACGATATATATTAGTCCATGATCGATCAATAAAAAACATGATCGATCGATCGATCATAACACACATATGTGTGATTAAATTATGAATAATTTACAACTAATGCAAGAATACATACAGCTTCAATGAATCATTTACCACTTTCATTGGAATATTAACAACTTTAATGGATTCTTTATGAGAAAATTTACAACTTTAGTGGATTGTTTACCAATTTTGTGGGAATATTTACAACTGCAATGACTTTCTTACCACATTTATGGCAACATTTACAATTTCAATAGATTCTTTACGCCATTTATGACAATATTTAACACTACATTGGATTGTTTACCATATTTGTGTAAATAATTACTCTAGTAAATGTTTTTTTATTATAATGAAGTTAATAATTACGAGAGTTATCAATTTTTTTTATGAGAGTTGTGAAATTTTTTTATTAATTCAATGGTATTTTTTATGATATTTACTACTCCGTGATCAATCAATAAATATGATCGGTTGATCAGAATAACAGATGTGTGGTTAATTTATGAATAATTTACAACTAATTCAAGAAGATGTACAACTTCAATGCATTATTTACCACCTTTATGGTAATATTTACGACTTCAATTGATTTTTTATGGGAGTATTTACAACTTCATTGCATTGTTTATCAAATTTGTAGGAATATTTAAAACTTTAATTGATTTCCTACCACATTTATGGCAATATTTAAAAATTACTAGTTTAGAAAAATATTTATTAATTCAATGGTATTTTTTGCCATATTTACTAGTCCATGATCAATCATTAAATATGATCAATCGATCCGAACACTCAGATGTGTGCTTAATTTATGAATAATTTACCACTAATCCAAGACAATATACAAATTCGATGGATCATTAACCACTTTGATGTAAATATTTACAACTTCAATAGATTGTTTACCAAATTGCTGGCAATATTTACAAGTT